TGCACATTGCATACTCTACCGTAATCATTAATCATTCTATTTTCCAATCTATATAGATACGACAAGCACCATCCAGCAAATGAATAAACAGGTGTATGGGAAGAAATATGTTGCGGACATTGTTGGGTATAAGCTGGACCCCTGAAAAACATCGTGCAATCTCAAGGGAATCGAAAAATAGAGTGATTACAATAATATGTCATATCATCTAGTCACCTAGTCCTGCTCATTCAGTTGCGCATCATCTGGGGTGTTGGCTTAGACATGAAATGCCTTTCCAAACGCGCCCTCTTCCGAAGCGAGAGATGGAGGCGGGTGGTTGTCGTCGGGAAGGGGCATGAATGGACTATATGTCTGACCAACTCTATACTACAAATTTTATATACATTATAAGTTGTTTATAGTTGTTTAGAATCTGGCATGCCATTGACACCGTTCTTCCTGGTTTATTGAATAGAGCTCTGCACACTGTGCAGAACTGATAGTCCTATGCAGAAGTTCCTGCACAGCTGCGCAGAACCTTTGCAAATGTTATCTTAACTTCAGCGGTTTGATGTTGAAACCGTCTTTCAATCTTTAGGGGCGAAGTGTTTGCCTACAGCCAGCCGTGTTAGCGGCAGTGAGTCTCTCGTTTTTGTCCACTGTTTTTGTTCCTAATCGGATAAATGATGCTGCATGATGCCTTAGGGGGGGTCAAGTTTTGACATACAGCAGGTTGTGATTCCCAACAATATGACGTTTGCTTTGGGTTGAAATGGTGGGTGCCGGGGGTGGGAGCGTTATGTAATTACATGTTTAGCCAACATGCACATCTTCCGATCATCCTGGCTCCCCACCACGTAAGAGTTTTTCAATTTGATCGGTTTGAATCATGTTGTGAATTTATAGGTAAACATATATATATATATACATTTGTTCTTCATCATGTGACGACGTTATGACATTTTTGGATGTTCCACGAAATCCTCACATATCTAAAGCCATTCTAAACGCATCGGGAACATGTGTCGCAGCACGTCACGCATCGGCGGGAGATTGGAAGATTCTGAGAAGCTTGTGACGCACAAAAATTGCAAATGCGCGTTTGAGCTAATTGGTACAAATGAACATTCATCACGGACTATGTACGTGAGTTCACTCCACGTTGAACTCAAAATTCTCAAAAGAATAAGAGCAATTAGAATATATACAAATATACATGCATATATATATATAGTTTCGGTCTATGATGATGATGATGATGATGATGATGATGATGATGATGATGATGAT